ATCTATACTAGTTATTGTATAGAGAATCTGTATTCTACTCAACCCACTGTAATCCGCTCAATACCAAGTTTCCTTTAAGGCTTTTATAATCGAGTCTTGACCTAATTATTAGAGGGTATATAAGGCTGCCTATAATCTATTTGATCTCGATTACATCGATTGCTATTATAACATAAAACAATACAATTCTCTGAGAGATTTAAAGTATATATTTTTTTTATATATATCTTGTTTTCAATTAAGTCTATCTGTGAATATTAATCGAATTCTCTATATATTCAGAGAGTATGTCTAGTTCCTATATTCGAATCGCCTTTACCAAAAACTGCGCAGCGCCCTTGATAATAAAAATCTATAGATCTAGACAACTTTGCCATACAGATCCTGCGAAAAAGGCATATTTTATTTAGAGCAACAGCTAAGAAAAAGATATCTCTATAAGAACGATTCGGAGGGCTCCTTCAAGACCTGAACAACAAAGCATACCCTTCCGATAAGGCTGGGCAAATGGCGAAGGCTGACTACTGTCTACATGTGTTTTAGATGTAGGTATAACAGTACAAGGAAATGGATAGTAGGTTTCTGATTATAATATTATTACTATATAGCCTAGACATGGTCTATAGGCATCGAAGTGAAAATTATATAAAAGATATACCAAGAGGAAATTTCGGGTACAGGAGCCTGGTGAGAATCTTAAAGAAATCCGGAAAAACTATTGGAATAGCGTAATTAAAAGTATAAATTAGTATATTATAGATCCAATATACTTATAATCACCTTGAGATCTCTCTTAGAATTTGACTTAAGTAGTTCAATAAGTAGAAATAGAGATATCCAGAAAATAGAAAAATAATAAAAATATTTATCTTTCCTTTCAAATGACTTGCTTCTTATATCTCAGCTTTTAATATATTATCTCGATAGTTAAATCTCACAATAGAAAATAATTTTACTGTCAATATCCCTCTTCTATATTTTCAAAGTACAAGGGGCAATAAATATATTCTCGATAAGAAAATCTATAAATTATAGGTCACTATCAATATCTTTGACCCTTCTAAATTAGACTGCCCTGTGTATATTCTTAGATATGGTCCTAGAGATATTAAAATATGAGACCCGATCCTGTACATATTTTCTGATTGTGTAGTTAGGGAAGAGACTGGAATAAACAATCTAATATATAATATCAATATTTTGGTCAACATATGGTGTGATAAGAGAGAGAAAAAAGTACAGTACTATATTTATTTTATATATAACACGACTCTCGGACTACCCATTGATGCAGAATATCCAGGAAGTACAATCTCTGTTATATATATATCTGGACAAGCTGAACACTACAAATCCTACTGGTTCTTAATCTTCAAGTAACAGGACACTGAGACCAGCACCAGCCTACCTGAGACAGGTATTGAGTGAGATAAACACAGTAATAGGAATCTTAAATATACTATTATATACACCGTCAAAACAGACCCCGGCCTTTAAAAAATAAAAGATTGTGTGTTACAACCTGAACAATTTCAATATATTTGAAATAGAACAGAGCACTGGCTGTGCCCTTGTGTATTATGGGTATAAGTTTTAAAAAGCCAAAGCACACAATTATATTCTGATGGCGTATAGATCTACAGTTATAGGTGAATATAGTCGAATGGGCTATATCGAGAGTATATTATCTAGTGGTATTAGTGTTGAGAATCTATATCTCAAATTGGTCTACAGCTCGCTAGGAATACGACGGGTATGTCTTTGCGGAAGTGTTGCTCGGTAAAGAGTCTGAGAAGAGTAGACTGGCCTGGTCAAGCGTAGCAGTGGCTTTACAGATGGTGGTGAATTCATACCCTTACCCCTTGCTAGGGATATACAGGATGCCACTATCTAGTCCTTGTGTATGTTTATGTACAGTAATCCGTTATTTGTCGGTTATGGCTTTATAGATATTTTCGAGATCAATTTCTATTCTATACTCTTTGATATTATTCCCAGGCCCTAGATGCCGTGTCACGCCAAACTATAAATGGATTATGTTATAAAAATTGCCCAATCTAGCTAACGGGAACGGTAAAAGTATCCCATAATTCTTTATGGTTTAGTGTAGCTTGATATATAATGTCTGGAAATAATACCCAAGAGTGTAATGCGGAAACTGATTTCGAAATGTTCTGTATATTACGAACTACCTTAGCAAATACTAGGGTCTAAATTATATAAATAATACCCCCTGCACCTGCATATTATTTGCTTATACCTGTAAGACTAAAAACGCATTTGGAATATTTTCCCAATGGTTAGACCAGTATATGGTATATGTACTTAGTTGTAATATTCAATCTCTGTGGAGTATCAAAAGACATCGTTAGTATATATAATCTAGCAGTTTCCTTATACAAGTGTCGGCTCTGAGGATATCTTTTATCTTTAGAGGTCGTTTACATGGAGTGCTACGATTATGGAATCTACAGAACATCCGCTACGCGCCAAGTCACCTGACAACTGCCCCGCTGGAAATATGGTATTGCCGAGTTTCCGAGAACTCCTCTGGGGGGGAACCGCGATATGGAGCAATTAGGGTTTATGATAATAAGAGCTTATGATGAGGCGGTGGAAGAGGCTCGAGCTGTAAGGGAAATAGTCAGATCGAATATGGAAGGAAGGCGGTATGATATGTATAGTGCCTTACCAACCGCTCACTGGTTGGACAAGGAAAAATAGTCAATATTTAAAATGTTTATGGAAGTCGGGGTGGATGTATATATTTTGTATCTTTCTAATCTTAGGGAAATTCTTGATTGGCTGTTAACTTGTGTCACAGCTGAACGCTATCATCGCGAATTGTTTTCCGAAATAAGGCCCCGAACCTATACACCAATCACTACGCCCTGTTCTATTTCAATGTGACGAAGTGGGGACTAGCCTATACAGAGCACATCCAAATTCGGACTCTATCTCCATATTTAGACCAATCGGATGCGATGTGGGATCTGAAAATAGAATATTTATGGTCTACCTATGCTCCGACAATTTAGATATGAAAGATGTTCAGGGCCTACCAAAGTCTATTCGGATTAACAGTGGTGAGCTGTTGGTTATCCGTGGGCTAACTATTGTTGAAACGGTAAATACCGAAGGGGGGCTAGTCATGTGGAAAGGATGTTCAATTCAGCCTATCGGGATGAATATTGTTGGCCAATATGTTTTACTTTTTATGAGGGCCCGCCCACCTAATGTCACAATGGTTGATAGGTGAATGATATGGTAACTCTGACTAGATTACAGAATATGATATTGATGGCAATTCTTCGGGATAAGCAGAGACGTTGATATTATGGTTTCTAGAAATAGCAACCGAACTACTATTCTATGATAGTATTTTTGAATTTTTCGATGGATTAGAAATAGTGGGTCTGGATAAATATAAGGATATTGGGTTTTTATCTTGATTTATCACTGAAATAGGCATTGAAATTGTTTTGGTATGCTTGAAGCAGATTATATGAAGTAAGCGCTTGTGCCTCTGATATTTGGATAATTGGGTAATATTGATCTAAAGCTTTTTGACTCCTTAATGTGCAAGTGATTTAAATAGGGGGAAAGGGAGAGAAAGAGAAGAACCACTTCGAGTGATTCCGTGGTGTTCTTTAGGTCGAGGGCCCAGACAATATTAGCCCCCTACTTTAGCCTTTTCGCTTTTATGATGTCTCCTATTTCTTTCTTCTAACCCTTGGCCGTGTCAAGGAGGGTTCTCTTCTTCTGTTTACCCTATTCTAGGCAATACAAGATATGCTCAGCAAAATACTTTTGAGTAACGGTACGGAAAGATTGTCCCAGCCTCTCTTTCTGGAAAGGCCGGCATCCGTATATTCGCTTGTCAGATCTGGACTACAAAATCTATTCAATATGACCAGTGGTTGAGAAAGTTTTAATATAATATATGTAGACTTCTTTCTAGAGTATCTAGCAATGTCTCTACCTTCGCTATCTGGGATGTATCCCATTGCGCGAGCAACTAATAACCCGGGGTAACTGTGTGTGGTTTGTGTTTGTGTCAGGAGCTCTGTCGCCCCCTCTTTTACCTTTTCAGATATGAGTAAGAAGCCTACTGTGCGCTGATTATGAGTTAAACTAGTCGGAAAATGTGTGCTCAGCAAATTATTCCTAATAATTCTGTGCGTATCCGCTGCTATAACCACACTACTTGTGGGTCCCGGCTGTCGTGAAACCCCATTGGACAGCAGTAATCTAGTAGTATATATTGTGGTTGTTCTGGGTATATACCTAGAAGTGTTCAAAAACCTAACCCCTCGGCTTAAACTACTTATGGAAGGTACTAACTATTATAGTTTTGTCTTGATATCTGTCCTATTATTACTGTTAACCACTATTCTGGGTTTTATTTTGTAATGATATTTGTTTGTCTTTATTACTATTATCTATCTAATTTCCCCACACTTCTTTCTCCTTTATTATTTATCTTAATTTTCTAGCCAATGTTGTATTTGGTTGATGGTTGGTAATCCTGGCTTTACGATTGCTATCTTTTAAACTAACTATATTTGACTATTAGAAGCTGTTTAATTGTGGGCAGTCAGTCCTATCCGGCACAACTCGAAACTTTGTACCTCTATCTGTGTGTTATTAGAGCGTCGACTTAACTATTACTGGAATTGCCGTTTTGTTTAATTACCGCAAGTTAATATATGCCCTATGAAAGAGAAGATAGCCAGTCTACTTCCAACAACTGAAATCTTATCCTCAAGAACTACTCGCCAATTTTGATATATCTCTGGCAAAGCTCTTACTGTGGTAGGACTCTATTACTTTACTGAATAGGTGTGGCTCACCAGTGTATAGACGCCTAAATTAGACCTTGATAGCAATAATCTGGGTCACAGTATGCTCTGGACTGTAGGTCATTTATATTAAATCGAACATTCACTACGGATCCGCAAAGATCTGATAATTCTAGCCGTCGTTGTAGGCCCGCGATTATGGGTATTACCTCAATAGATAATAAACTGAGAATGCTTTCTGCTTTTTCTGAGCTTGTACTCCTAATGTATCGCATACATCTCGACGGATTGTATGGTAGACTAAGTGTACCGGTAATGTACAAACAGTCATAGCGTTATTACCCACCCTACGAAGATTACCCTGCCGAACAATATCGAATATCTACTGCTTCTCCGCTATTGACTTCACAGGGATGCTCTGTTATTCAGAACTACGAACTGCTGCAGCATCCTCTCGATGGCCTGTATAGTAGACAAAAAAGCCTAACAGACCCAAAATATACACCGATGGAAGTGAATCCATTGTTACAGGGTCCTGTGAACAGGGCATATGTGCCGGCACCGCATTCCGCGATGCCCGAGTATTGTTCTCGAATATCTTTTCCTCCGCAGGAGTCATATAGCAATAGAGACGCTCAGCCTCCATTACCACGGTGATCAATTCTCCCAGCTCTATATTCTATCCCTGTTCTATCTATGTCTTATACACCTGCCTCACATGATTCTAGCTATTACCAAAGCCAGGCCTATGCTATTTGCCAGCGCAAGGCTACACGAGCACAGCAGGTAAGTTAACTCTTATAGTCTTTGCTAAAAAGTGTCTCACTGCATATATGTATATAAAAGGAGAAGACGTTGCTGATATATGTTTAATTAAAGGCTTGCGATCAATGCCGAACAAGGAAAGCAAGGTGCGATGAAGGTCGGCTGTTATGTAGTTATTGCAAGGAGAATAACTTAAGCTGTGTCTACAAAGAAGTTCCTCTGTATAAGTATATATTTTCTAGCTCTTCTATTCTACTACTCTATATCAATAATTGCAGGACGCTAACATATATACAGACAAGAAAAGGCAACCCGACTCTTATTAGATCGATTACAGTCCTTCCAAGATGCTATATTGGACAGATTTGATCGTTTGGACTAACTTAATACAGAGTATGGGAACAATTTCAATTCTATTCTGGCAAAGATTGACGCCAAGTCCGCACCTAAGAAGCCACGGAAGCCGGCAGTCCCGCAATTAGCAAATAAGTATATAATCGATATTCAGGAGTCCAAAGCCAAGGATAAGAATATCGCTACAATACAGAAGCAGACACCAGAATCAACTGAAATGGTCACAGAGCAAGTTGTTCCCTCTGGGGAGGATGGTGAGCTCTCAATCCCTGTAGAGTATACAACGGCGGCTTATAAATTGCTGTTGTGGCCTTCTATTCGGAACCTCCTTTGTCCAAGAGAGTATGATGAGGATTATGTGATGAAGCTTGAAGAAGAAAGAGGCTTAATTTGTATCTATAGTTGTGGAGAGGGAGATGAGACCAGTGAAGACAATAGCTTGTCGCCTCCGCCAACAACCTTGAGTATCAGCTTCAATAAAAACCAGCTATACTATCCGATACCACCCTCTAATGGACCTTGGGGGGTGTATATAAACCAACCCCAGATTAAACTTGAAAACAAAGGGCTTGACGAGAACGGTATGCTAACTGTGGACTCTGATATGGTTCGTCGTTATTATAAGGGCTATATGAAATATATGCACCAGCTTTATCTGTTTCTTGATCAGAACGATTTGGAGAACAAAGTTAATTATTTTATCAGGTTGTACTGCCTATTGAAAGGTCCTATGCTGTCCCGAGGAGTACTGAATAATTATGTGAATGAGATGCCCCGAGGTACAAAACGAAAGTGTCCATGCAAAACCTTACAGGGTGTGGAATATAATGTGCAATCTACTGCTGAACAGGGTAGTAGCCGGCAGATAGAAAAGTCTATCTATAATGTCATTATTCTTCTGGTTCTCGCGCTTGGCAGTATCTGCGAAGCCAATCCTGTGCCCGGCCCAGTCATAGACCAGCCGGTGGACTTCCGAAAAGAGATAATATCTGGTCCTTCTATGCACGGTATACTATTGCTCGCAGGTTCAGATTCTCTTTCTCAGTCGCAAGGTAGCGGCTATATCACAGAAAGTTACACCTTTGTATCTCCTTTATTAGTGGGCAATCGACAGAGCGGTGTCGAGGGGAACCTAATATCCCAAGATAAAAACTCGGATTATATTCCCGGCTTAGTATTTTATATATACACTACCCAGATCCTCGGAAGTCTCCAAGGAGTAAATAGACTGCCTTATATTTAAGTAGCCTTATTAGCAGGGCTTTACGCAGGCCAGCTAGCGTACCCCTCCCAGAGCCATGGATGGATACATCAAGTCGGCAGGGCTTGCGAAGTTTTGATTCGATTGTAGGGATTGTTATTTCTATTCAAGTAATTATAGTATATAGTACTAATTAGATCTCTAGAAAACGTTATAAGTAGATATCTGATGGCTCCGACAAGGACTTATACAATTTTGTGTACTGGACCTGTTTTTAGCTGGAGAGGTATGTGTACACTTTCTGTAATTTGCTTGCTGTATTTTACTACAATGTTGGGGAAAATGCTGACTTGTATCCAGTAATATACTAGCAGAACTTGATCTTCCCGCTAGCGGTATATTACTCTGGGAAGCTCGCATCTCCTTCCCAAAAGGATGGTTTACTCCTGATCTTCCAAATAGAATTTCCGCCTCAAGCCCTATGACAATGTTTTACTATTCCGCCCAGATTTCTCTAAGAAAGATCCTTAACTGTGTTTATACTGATTTGTACAAAGCTAATAGTGAGTTTTCGGTATCTGATAATGGTATTAAAGATCCTGAGTTGACTGTTCACAGGACAAGGACATACCCATTGGTTATGGCAGGTTCAAAGAATTTTAAGTATGAATCTTGAACTTTGGCGAAACAATCTACCTGATGCGATGAAATGGAAAGACATAGATCCACTATTAGAAGATATTAACGTCGCGCGGATGCGAGTTAAGTACTATGGTATATGTTATATTATCTATTGTCTCTTACTGTATTATGCCCTTCACCACTATGTATTATCGGATAGTCCGTCTATCGAAGCTACTGCTATGGCTGCTTCTAAATTGTAGTAGATATTACTATTATTAAATCATAGTCAAGATGCCACGAATATGATATCTCTGTCAAGTAATATAGGTCCTGTATCTGGGTTTACAGGGGCTGTACACCGCGACTTGCCCACAAAGCTACGAAGAGCTTGTAAAGTTTGTATTGATTCAGCTATACTAAGTACAGTGGCCTTTGATGGTATAAAAGGCTGTCCAGTAGTGACCAATATTTTCGGCATTGTCTATGCGTACGTGAACACTATCTGCATATACTATGTGTGGGTTAGAGTGTGTCAGCTGACATTATTTATTGTGTCTATAGGTAATTTGGTAATATGTTGGTATTGTCTGCTATATATATATCTAGCCTCTTAGAATTAGTGGATCGAAACGAGCTCAAGAGATTTTTTAAGTGAATGATTAACTTCTTGTTATAGAGCTGTTATATTTCTTCTAGTCTCTGAGCTGATGCCCGAATTCTTACTGAAATATATGTGAAAATATTTGGGAATTCTTCGGAGTGGAGGGATTTAACTAATTAAGCTTGGATGCCTGGCCTATCTGCTGGTATCTGTGATGTGCACCTTAAGTAAAGAATTATATACAAGCTCAATAACGCTATCAAGTAACTGTAGCGCTTGTTTAAAGCCGCCTGTACTTTTATTTCCCTGCTTTACTAGTGGATTACCCCGAACGTGCTTCAATATTTAAACTCGTGTCTAACTTATGATATATATATCTATCTGTACAATAGCTCTGTTGTTTGTTTTCGGTCTCGAATTTAGATACTACTTATGTTTGTAGTCTTTGTCTGTGCTTGTGAAGAAAGGGGTGGTTACCTAAAGATCCTAAGATTAAATTACTGTTCTGTACTCTTAGTTATGTCACTACCTAAGATATAAGAAGCCAAGTCCGTGGTAGAGGCGGACTGCTAGTTATTTTAGCCCAAGGATCGTGAAACCAGTAAATACCAGTAGGGCTCTAGTAACTTTTGGAAATATATTAAATTGAGTCCAGGGTGTTGAATATAGTATTTGTAACAGGTATATTTGTGTCTTATGGAACCCGATATACTATTAGAAAAGGAAATAAAAATAATAGAAAGAGACTTAATTAGTGGCTATAACAAAGTCTCTAGTTAAATACAATTAATGTCTATTGAACCGAGATTGTTTTTCTATATTTATATAAATTGAAGCGATTGTATAATCATTGATATGTAGTGTTACGGAGTCTAATAGGTGAAGTAGTTACTGCAGTTCTGACTATATTATAGATCATAATCTCGATAGAGATATTATTTTACAACAGACTTAGATATAGTACTGTTGTAATTTAACTAGAAATATTAATCGGAGAGTCTTTACTGTAATTATATTTTTCAGGTATAGTAGACTTGAAATATGACTCTATTAAATTAGATTGGTACAAAAATATTAAATATCTATTTCCTCTTTTCATGTCCCTTGCCAATATAGGTGTTGAAAAGAATTTGATATACTCAAAGCAAATTTTTTGAAGTAAAAGTCCGTGCTTCTCTAATGATATCTGGGTAATTGGGCAGTAATATTTTCAGTCTTTTTTGTTCCTCGTGGTAGAGGTGATCTAACTGCAACAGTGACAGGATATAAAAAAGATTTATTTCGGGTAACCCGATAGTATTCTCTGTATTGAGGAGCTTCTTATCTCTCTTAAGTGTGTCTTCGATCTGATTTACTTGCGGAATACCTTTTGCCTTTAGGAACAGTCGAGCTGTTCTTTTTTCTTTGAGTTACTTTTCGGGAATAGGACAGCTAATCTTTCTAGCCCTCAGACAGGATCTGGGGCGGGGATTAATATTCTCTTTTTCCCAATCTCTCCTTTGAAATGCAATCCACCTGCAGTACAGTAATTTTAGAAGTAGAGTAAGAAAGTCACCCCGGTCTGCACTTCTTAGTGAAAGGATCTGTGTCAGTGGATCTCCTTCGCTAGATATAGAGAGTATGATTCTTTCTGTTTAGTCAACAGTGTGAAAATATATAACGGAATCCAGATTTCTTATAATAGAATCTAGGAAGTTCTCTGCTGTCACTAATTGAAGGGGGCGCGCAATTACTTGACCAATCCAACTAATAATCTACTGTATCTGTGCCCGGTGAGCCTATATTTAGTTATCAGAAAGTGAAAATATGAACTTTATAGCCCTTATAATCTCTGTTACTTCCGAGACAGGTAAATAGTCTATCTTAAGATATACCTAAACAATTCCAGCGACCTTAAGACTGTGGTAACATAGATATTAGCAGGACTTGGAGTCTCCCAATTTACTGTTGCGGTATATACTTGTTATTGTTTACCTAGCTACAGGCCAATTTCTGCGGGAATGTGGTTCAGGAGAGGTATCGATATTAGTCAATAGAGAGAGGGGGATTATCAACACATAATTATAGAGTGGTGTTGGTAACCTGGCCGGAGGATGCAACATATCCTATTGGATCAATAGCGGACGTGGACAATGGCCAGTGTGCCCCGGTAGACCCACGGTCTTGGTAATTCGTGGGTAAATACCTCGACCTAGCAACTAAAACGGGATATGTTGATAGAAGATTCCGGTCACTAAGCGATCTCAAGAGTTAGTATCTATAGAGTGGGGGTTTGTGGGTCGGTTAGTAAGCCCTTAATAGACAATTGGATATATATCTATATACGAGATAACTCTGTGCGTCAGTAGATGAATGGATAATTCGTCCGCAGAATAATATAGGGAATTCGGAATAATAGGATCTGTGCCAAGTATATAGGTTCTGGAAATCTGTTTCTGGGTATATACCCAGATGTACACAATGTGTGTTACCGAGTTATAGTCTCTAATTATATACCATTAGAAAAACACTTGAGATCCACAGCCAATATCGCAGAATATTTCCTATACAAGTCTGACTTTAGACCTATGCATAACGAAGGTCCGTGAGTTTTGGTTCTACCTGAACTAAGTAATAGAACATCTTGTAATATCTGTATTATGTACTGTGTATTCTAATCTCTTATCCGTTTACGGCTGATAGTAAGGGGCCCCAGCAGAATCAGAGTTTGGAAGTCTAGGTCGAATGCCCAACCTAGTTTTATACTTGAAGCGGCAGCAACCCAGAAGAAATACAGGCCAACTGAGTCGGGGGTCGCTGGGCAGGACTTGATTATACTATTACTCTGTACTACTTGTCGAACACTAAACCCGAGCATATCCCAGCAGTACCGATACCAGAGAGTAGCTGTGGTCTCTTTCTGAAATTTATATAAATCTGTTTATATTGCCTGCGGTGTCACAGTTACCAAAAAGGCAAACATTGTCAGCGGGGTATAGATAGGGGCATATCTTTAGCGTTTTGCTGTTGTGATTAAGGCACTTTTTCCTACTCTCTTCTTGTTTGCTGCCAGTAACAGAGATTCCGCTGCGGTGGGAAGATTAGAAGCAATAGGAGTTAGTCTTAAGTGACTATAAACTAATTAGGTTTCGAGTACCTACTTTTTTATCTATATATTATCTCTCTTTTCTCTTATATACTAATATATCAACAGCTGATAAATATACTCTAGAGTATCTTACCGAGCACTTATCGCTGGTTCTGTTCAACATGAATCAGCCACCAGTAAGTAAGATGTGCCGATATTTGATATACTTTGATTTCTGATTGGTTTTATTCTGCCTACTAAGGAAATTGCTCTCGAGCCAATTAAGGATGGCTGGGTGATGGTAGACAGCACATCACAGGATTCCAACGTTGCTGTCTCTTCGGGAATGAATGAGCCGCCTGCCGAGAACGAACAGCACATAGTCAATCGAAACATGGGGATGAGTAGGGAGGGAGGAAAGCCTAATCTTGCTCAGTCAGAGTATCAGGGAGGAATCTATTGTATTGAAATAAGGGGAGGATATACTTCTTATTATAGAGTGTGTGGAGTATATCTTGTTCGCGGGAGGCTCCTTAACGGGAATACAGACCCTGTGACTTTTCGCAAATTCTTCGGCCTTAAGAAAGATATATAAGTAAGAAGTATGGCAATGGACTGCTGAGCCTATATACTCAAGTGCGGAAGAAATCAATAAAACTTGGATGTTTTGTTCTACTCCCACAGAAGGCCTATACAATAGAACAGAGCGAATCTGGTGCCAGCACTATATGCAGACAGATATATATGCTTTTAACATGTGAGGGTTGAATTAAGAGTTATAGGAAGGTGTTTATAAAGGGCAGTGTGTAATATTTATTATGTCCTGTTTCAATATAGTCTAGCAATTGTATATAGGTTGAACTCAATGTCGGCCTGAGAATGATATATGATTACAATTCATGCCCTCACAAGTTGTCTATACAATTAGAAACGCCGGTTTTGTGTCCTAACAAGTCAAACTACGAAGAAATACCCAGAATAAGACGCAAGCTTGACGCTATGCTGAATCTTGAAAGGGATTTCTCAAGTAGCTTAAATATAGAGGGTGCTTGACTCATGGAATATCTGGGTGAGGTGTAAGATTGTACATGGGGAATCTCTAACGTATAATTGTGTATGTATCTAGTCTTTAGGTGAATACTAGCTAATTTAAACCCTGGTCAGGGGCTTCTTTACGAGTGATCCCCCCAATCCTAGGTCAGTAGCTACTAGCTTTCCTATATCTTGACTAGTCTATCTATAAATTCATGAGCCCTCCTGTAAGATAAACCATTTAGCTATTTATCTTTTGATTTTCTTTATATATCTGTCATACTACCGCCCGCCGCTAGGTTATGGAGGTCACTACCAAAGATTTCAGAGTTAGAATATATAGCCCCCCTAATTTTATAAGCAATGTTATTTGTACATTTGAGTAAGTAATTCTGGCTGCTACTTAACCCCATGTGCAACTTATCTGATAATAGAAAACAAGGGATCTTCTCACTGTTCACGTACATCCGGATTTAATTCGCTATATTGGAGACATAGGTCCTTACCTAGCCGGAGCGAACAAAGGATTGCCTTCTGAGCCGCTAACCAGTAAGGCAAGAAATGCAGTTGCAATACTCCTCAACTCTACTGAGTTAGTCAGCTTTGCTCTTGGAATTGGTCTTTAGCTCAGTCTCTCAGCACGCAAGCCGCAGTTACCCATTGACAATAAGATACACTGTGCCAAGGCAATATATTCCGCCACTACAGGTGCTGTAGCCTGCAAAGAGAGCGAAATAATCTTTGTAATACACTGCATAGCAAAGGAGTTTCTGGACAGCGTTCAGTACCATAGTCCTCAAACGACAAGTATAATGAATTTCTTCAGATACTGTCTCCAGGTAGAGAGACTATCGCAAAAGCCATCTCAGAGGCTGTATGGATATACAAAGCTAAGATTTCGGAGGATTAGACATGATGAGGCTATACTACGCGAGTTTCCAGCTCTAGTTGGTATGTGGCTATTTCTCTGTGATATTAAACTCCTTGTTGAAATGGTTCCTAGGGAAGAAGCCGATATCTTAGATCTTGACTTCCAACGGACGTTTGAGAACTTCGAGAAGGTTTTTATTACACTGGTAAGAATGATACACATGCGTCTACTGCAGGCTGAAGAGGCAAAAGAATGGGTAGCAAAGCTCTATAACCTGCATATCAAGTCCTCTATCGCCAACCAGTACTTGCTTATGTTGATTCAAGAAATTGTGACCCACTCAAAGTTCCTGAATTCACTAGACGTTCTTCGAAGTACGTTGAGTCAGGTGGTTAATGAATTGGAGAGCGGGTTAGAGTAGTCAATGTGAATTCAGTGTATAAAAACTTATATTACAACAATCAACTTCACCGAAGAAGATTTTAATAAGGAAGCCCTCGGTATCCACCCAATTCGCAGGGGTTCTAACTCCATCTTTGTATCCTACGGTACAGAAACAGTATTTGCTACTTATGGCAGTAGCAATTTTTACTAGGCCCACCAGCCAGTTCCAAAGGACTGGTTGGAGAATATACTTTCACATACTATGACTAGAATATACCTGATTCGAAAGAAAAGATACTGGTTATAATAATTAATTTACGTGATCAGGAAAGTTAAACCGAAGTATTAATTTATGGTAAGCTATCTGTACTATTCTTAGGACCTTTTCACGTCTAAACCGTGCCAGAGCCCTTGGGTACTATCACAACTGAAAGCTAGTGCAATGTACATTATAGATTGTACTCTACAGAATAATATGTCCCAGGCTAGTCCCGGAGCAGTGGACTCAAGCGCCTATTGGGATATAGAACGGGAATTTTGGCAATCCGAAGAATCCCTTGTGTAAGGCAAATTGGTGATCCGTAATCTTGATAATGGTGATAGTGGTGAAGCAGATCTGAGTTAACCCTTTGATATTAGATGGCAGATCTTCTTGCCAAATGAATATATTGTATGTGATCTGATCCATTCTGTATATATTATGCTGATAGCCCAAGTGGTGAAGAGATCACAGCACGAGTGACTATGGAGAATGGTAAACTGAAATTACAGATTATTGAGCTCTATCTATTACTTAAGATACTGGAGTTTCTTAGAGAGCTCCAGGATAATCTGAAGATTGGGCAGTATAAGCTGATGATCAAAAAGGCTAATTACGATAGTGAGTTGGTTATGTGTCATTGCCTATAAGCTCTTGAAGTAGTATTATTTCGTCGGCTAACTGTTTTTTGAGGATCTTCTCAATATGTGGTGCTTTCAGCGAATTAGTCCAGAAGTAGTAACCGTATATACAACCTTCTGGTGTGTCTGTTGGGGTTTGTTAGGTAATATTTCGCCCTTCTACTAAAGTTTACTGGGAAATATCTTTCTTCTACAGTATCTCATTGTTGCCTCGCTTTTCAACTTTCGCTTGTTAGGTCTTTGGGTATCATAAAAGGCAACGTTTTTTGGTTCGAGGTAATCCGTCTTAGAGTAGCAGCTTGCTATGTTGATTGAATTGAAGGTTTGTACCCTTGCAGTGAAAGGAAATCTGCTAAAGGCTATTGTGAACACTGAATGAACTTGGCTTGTTTTGAGGATGAATAAAATTAGAAGTTAGGTATAGTAAATGAAGAAGTACTTTATAGAATAATAGGCTTCGGTTAGTTAAGTTATTGCGTATCTCTGCCAGCCAATAGATCTATTCCTTGTATGAATGCTTACAAGGCCAGCTGTTTTGGCTAGGGTTGCCTCTAGAAGGTGAATATAAAGGGAAGAACTGAGCAAGGCACAGATATATTCAAGAGCTAACTAACTGACTGTGACGAGTTCCCAAGGTCTTTTCCCATTAATCGCCGGATATTAAACCCTTCACAGGAGTAAATTTAGTTTATAAATACTGACGGGCTTCAGGAAGGCAACATAAAAATATAGAATACAGTGGCTCAGGATTATTTGGCATCTTCTGCAATAAAGGAAAGATCGCCTCGATAGGTCGGATATACGAGCGAATATTCTAATACCCTCTTTATAAGATACTGTTGTATCTATTTATCGAGCACAATTAGGAACGATATATTTTAATAAAAGAGAGGAAAACGAAAAGAAAAGATACAGCCTACCGATATCAAATTTCATATAGTTAAGACGGTCTGAGTACTAAGTGGGTAACTTTATACTCAAGTTGACCTCCAGGTCCAGGTTGAATGCGGTTTAAAACTCCTTCAAGATATATATATGCATTAGATCTTAGACTTCTTAACTTACTATCATAGAAGTAGCCATAGCTAGACACAGACTGGAGATTAGAGGTTTTTGAAACAACTAAAAAAAAAATACCCCAACTGGGAGAACACCAGCAAGGTCAGCCCTTTGAATGTTGCGCAAATTCGGTAGCTATACTGTGACACAATTGAATAACTTGATTTTGCAATCACTTTGTGTTTGACTACAGACGGTCATCTGGACTGTCAAGTAGCTCGAGGACAAATATTAAAGATATATACGCAGAAATCGAACCGAGAAGAGAGAAATAGAGGAGGAATCGAAACGACAAGAATAGACCTATCCATAATATTAGAGAGGGTAGTCAATCAGAGAAGAGAAAGAAAAAGAAAGGGTCTGAGCTCATAGAACTCTTTGCAGCCCAGACTATAAGGCAGGATTATCTACGTGGCAGCAAAGAGTGACAGGGATAGCAGTTTCATTTCCGAGATAGTCCGTATGTACCCGCTTGGCATAGTGTGCGCCCAGTGGGAATAGTCTATATTCACTGGGCAACACGGGTCTGCTGTTGTATTCCTGTCAACCACAATTCATCAAGCCCAAATTTTGACAACTTCTGACGAATATTCCACGAAATACTCAACCTCCCCAGCAGTTGACAGCACTAATACCGGACCCTAGGTAGCTTCAAACAAGCGAAAGCAACAGAAGACACACAAACTTAAAGAAATATTGGTTCCTGGTTAGAGGACTTATAATCTTAATTTCAATACCTCTAATAATCCAGGCACCAAATCTTTACATTTATTTATCCAGAAACTCGATCGATCTGCAAGATAGGCTAATACCCGATCTCAAAACACAGAAAACCTTAGAGCCCAGTTTCAACAGGGTAGTCTCGACTTGATCACTGCTCTCTATCACGATCCATTATTAGTGGCGGAAGACGTTATCACTATCGACAAGAGTAAAAACTTAACAAGGTATCTCGAACTGCGATTTTCCTGTTCACTTCTTTTTCAGTCAACTGCTTCTCGTTCTATCAGTCATCCAGAAGTATTATGGAGTATATTTTGGATGTTTATACAGAAGAACCGTCAGAAGTTCGTTAACGTGTATAATTACTCGATTAACAAGGAAGTCGAATACACCGAGAGACAATTGACCGAAGATATTATCAAGCACTGAAAAAGGATTCGCGAACGGTATTGAATTGTCTTGACATTGAGAACAGAATATGCCAATGTTGCCCAACCCCTATTATAGACTCTGACTTAATTCAGCGGATTGCACGAGACAGCCAGACTACTATAGGAAAAGCTGACTCTACCTGGATTAACTTACATAAGGAGTTTCTTCTTCTGAGTATAAAAGATTGTATATCTCTAATCTATATTGACATTGGTACAGTACTCACGTGGTTGTATGTTATTCATGGCCGCAAGATTATCTATTTCCCTTATACAATTAATCTCAATGCGGTTCGCTTACTGGCACGACTTGGGTCGGAACAATTCAAGGGATACGACAGTGGCTGGATTCGAGTAGAGTTAAGACCAGGTGATCTATTGTAAATTACCCTATCTTTTACAATTATTCTATCTGATATCTATTTAGTATCATGCCCCTATCATGTCCACACACTGTCTTCACACCAGATAATTCTTTAGTTGTCGGTAGCCACTTCTATACCTCGGCTTACTTACCCTCGACATTGGAAGGGCTCAGATTTCTTGAGAAACGGCAAAAGATTTCTAATAAATTATTGAAGAATAATTACTATAAGATGCTCGCGCAGATCCTTAATTTATATAATAAAGTTGTGATACCGGAGGAGGTCAAGCATATCTAGGCAACTTGCCATCTGTTCCTTGATTCGCCAACAAAAACCAAGCTATTGACAGCCTGTACTGAGTTTATAACTGCTCTAAAGAGTTTTAATCAGAGGGCATATAAAAGCTTCTCACAAGAACCAGAGTAGTCGGATAAAAATAATATATTTGCGGACAATACTTGGCTCATAAGTTATAGTCTATAGTGACTGCTATGGGGCTGCCTAGGTCTGAAAACAATTATATGGCCTGGTAGGACACCAGGAATCTCGCCTGTCTACACCCGAACCAGTATACAAAGCACCGGATAGCCTGCTTGTAAGCCCACTCTCATTCAAGCCAAAGGACGAAGCGATTATTGAAAACAATTTAATAGGTTGTAAAAGACTGCTTATGGCATATAGCTAGTTTATATATGATCAAAGATAACTAAAAAACATTGTTTTCGGAGAGTATTAATCTATTGTCTCGCCGAGAGTTGTATACCAGAGAATATTTATCGCGGCTTACCTTTTCCCTGGATACAGTAGAACCCATAATAACCCTTTATCCTTTTTATATACCGACTTATGACCTGTCGTTTAGGCCTAGGTAATCTGTAATATATTAGTAAAATTCGGCCTGAAAGATATTTTGTGTAAAGAAAATAAGCCGAACAGTAAATAATAACTTGTCCATGATTCCAGTTCCCAGGGTAATCGTATTACTTGGTTAAACACAAAGGAAACTGATTCCCTCGGTCTAATTTAAGAGGAGTATAACTGGTTTCTCTTGCCTCCGCTCCTTCGATGCTAAATAAGATATTGTAACAACAAGTGGGTACAGTCAATGTCCAACAATATAGTTCAACGCAATATCATATTCGGTACAATATCTTCCGAAACAAGTACTTAATTTCGTACTCAACAGATATATAAACTATTTACTAACCTAATATAACTCAATATCTATTGGTATTACATTTGTAAATCAGACAAAATATGTTTATTGTAGTACGCTCTTGTCTCTCAAAGTTCGGGGCCGGAATAAGTAAGAAGCAGGACAGTGAGCTCCTGCGTCCTCCATTGGGCTTTGATATCAGAACTGATACATTTTCGACTCAGGACTAACAAAGCACTATATATCAGATAGTGATATCTGTATATCATACTTGTATATTGAGAAAATCATATATATATATATTATATCTTTCTAACAACACACAGTATTTCTGGAAGAAAATGCCACTGTTAGATCTGATTGGGCATGCACTACAAGAAAGACAGAAAAGATCATAGATTGATAGAAAAGGCTCCGATACGAAGATAGTTATAGGAAATCAGAGTATACCTGTTCACAGCACAGTCCTCGCCGCAGAGAGTCTATATCTAGCGGAAAAGTTTCGGGAGAGCCTTCTGGTGGGCGAAAGCCGTGATTTACATATAGAAGATACAGACCTGCAGACAGTATATTGGATTCTGTATCTTATTTACTTTGGAGAGTCAAGTATGAAGACACAGTAAAAGATCTATTTATTATGCTAACGAATCACCAGCAGGTTACCATCTACCGCTCCAAAAACAGGCTTCGGCAGTTATACTAGCGAAAAAATAGCGCCTTTTCCAAAGATTGTAGTATTTGCTTCAAAGGGTTATATATAGAGAGATATAAAATCCTAGCAGAGAGATTACAACGCCAACGAGAGAAACAAAGGAAGATAGCAAAATAGCTGTACTTCATTCCCATCTAACATATTAATCTACAGCCATTCTCAAAATCCGATTTTGATCCATATACACGTGATGGTTACCTTGCAGTCCTGCTGCACAGACAATAATTCCTAGATATTATTGAACCAACAGGTCTAGCTTAGCCATAGCCCAGCCTAATAAGGGAACTGGATTCTACGTATCACTTTTTAGATAGTGGATTTAAATTTCCACGCAACCAAGCCAATAAGACAGCCTACTCTTGCTTCATATCTAGCCGGCTTTGGGTTAACCCACACGCCAAGGAACGTTCAACCAAAGCGAAATGACACGAGGTAGAGATGTTTAATTCATTTCCAAGTCGGCCCTTTAATTACACTAAAGCTGGCATCCTTGTCTTTCATTTAAATACCTACCTGCGAGATTACCATAGGATATCCCGCGGAATCAGTAATCGACTACAAGGCCTAAGCGCCTCGACAAGAGGTATAGGTCACATAGCGTACGCAACCAGAAATTCCACCAGATATTAGAAAGGCTGCTACCTACCTTTTCTAAGCTTCATATATAGTGCAGCTCGCACCATCAACATTTTGTTCCATTAAATCATTTCTGTCGACCTTTCAATCGCAAATCCCAGACTAAAATCCATCACCTTGAGATATGGAGTTTGAATATCTGAGGCCCGTATATATCTATCCTCGCTTGAGTAACGTGAATGAACTAGAAGAAGATCTAAGAGTATTGAGTAGATGGCTATTTAAAACAAATCGCGAGGGGGAAGGCATACATATTGTACTACACAATCAAAATCCGTTAACTGGGAATAAAGTTACCGACACAGACCCTTTTATCGAGTTGGCAGACTTGCTTCTCCAGTACAAAATAGAGCTGAAAGACAGAAGAAAAATAATATATTTACCCAAAGAAATTTGGTAAATTTTGTTACCTTCCGAGAATAGGCAAATAGTAGAGAATAACTCGTCCGATAGCAGTTATACCGACAAGAGTAGACAGACAGCTCAGCCATACTATGAAACTCCAGGTGATCATGCCCGTCAGCAGCCTGAACCCAGCGAATTGCATACCATCAATCTCTCACATCATAGAAGAGCTCAAATTTTCAGCCCAAGTACTATTTCAGAACAGTTCGAAAACTACCAAACGGCGATAAATCGAGGGGATGCCAAGAGAGTAGCATCCACATTACTTGCCATAGATGGCCACAGTCTCTTGGAGGCGCACCAGCAAAGTTTCTCCGAATTAGTAGATATTCAGAAGCAAAGCAAGCGGATAACTACTGAAAATAATACCATTAATATCTGGGGGAAATTTAATAAATATTATCTGGATTTGGGTCGGTATACCTTGGAGGCACTTGATCAAGGTACTTACTTAGCCTTCGACTCTAAGAAAAGTCTGTACGACTGGCTGCATAAACTAGTAGCATGTATTGTCAATATATCCGAGTCCCTGAGATACCTTGGCTATGTTGATTGCGAACAAGGAATCTGGCAGGACAAAATAATATCCTATATATAAAGAGATGAGACAATTTCAATAACTAGCTAATTATTTACATAGGTTATAAAAAGTACTTTGAAGCGTTGATAAAGATGGGTACCACCTCTTCCAACTTGTAGATAGACCTATAAAGGAGCCGGAACTCAGGTAATTCTACCAAAGGCAACCCAAAACCATCCACATAACAAGGTAAATTACATATATAAAGCGATGAGAGTCACTTTGACCAGGAAAGCCGAATCAGCCAATATTAGGCTTCGTTACCGTGAAAATGGAGTTGAAGGCTAGGTTATTCACCTGGCATACAAATGTCTTCTTTCAGCTACGCTCTTTCCGTATGCACAGCCATCAGGCTTTGTCCCTTTAGAATTTTACTTCTCAGAATGGGTTTACCAGTCCTATCCAGACGCCGCAGGGCAGTCCCAGCAAAAATAGATTTCCACCGGGCGCCCTAGACCTACCAAATGTCTTCGATAAAGCGATGAAGCTCAACCCCACCTCGCCCAACAAGGGCACCTACGACCATTACAGTCACCCCATGTTTTCTCCGAAAAAATCAGTGGAAGACTTCAGCGAGAGCGTCATTCGACAGCCCCCAGGTAGTCCGACACGCAAAGCAAATAAGGAGAACACACCACCGAGTCCGACGCGGGTGGGCAAAAACCTCGGTCCAAATCCCGCTGCGGCCGCCATCTCTCGTCACCAAACGTATCAGCCACGCGATGTAGAGAGCATTCAGAGACGTCAGGTGCAGATGAGGGGGTTGACACCAGAGGAGATGGAGAAACGGCAGAACCCTCGGGTAAAACGATTGGTAAACGTGACACAGCTCTGTAGGTGTCCGCGCACATTCTTAACCGATGGGATCGAGCCTGCTAACCGTTTGTAGATTTTCTCGACCATTATTTCGACCTACTCAGTTATGTGCACAATCGCCAAACCCGCTACTCTCAATTCCGAAATGCCTACCCGGAGCCGCCCGCAACTCCCATGGATGACTACAAGCCGACCCTTCTCAAATATTTGGGTCGGGAACGGGCCCACCTCCGCAAGCGCCGCACCCGGCTCCGCCAACACGATTTCCAGATCCTGACGCAGGTCGGCCAGGGTGGCTATGGACAGGTGTATTTGGCGCAGAAGAAGGATACCCGGGAGGTGTGCGCATTGAAGGTCATGAGCAAAAAGCTACTGTTTAAGCTGGACGAGATTCGGTATATTCTGACCGAGCGCGACATCCTGACGGCCGCCAAGAGTGTATGGCTAGTCAAGCTACTCTACGCTTTCCAGGATGAGGACCAGATTTACCTTGCGATGGAGTATGTACCCGGTGGAGATTTCCGCACACTCCTCAACAATACCGGAGTTCTGCACAACCGCCACGCGCGATTCTATATTAGTGAGATGTTCAGCTGCATCGATGCCCTGCATGCGCTGGGATATATCCATCGCGACTTGAAGCCAGAGAACTTCCTGATCGATTCCACAGGCCATGTGAAGTTGACCGACTTTGGCTTGACGGCAGGTATGCTGAATCCCGGCAAGATCGAATCCATGCGCGTGAAGCTAGAGGAGGTGGGCAACACGCCAGTGCCATTCGGTCGTCCAATGGAGCAGCGCACGATGGCCGAACGACGCCAGGGATATCGCACCCTCCGAGAGCGTCAAGTGAACTACGCCAAGTCCATCGTCGGATCACCCGATTACATGGCGCCGGAGGTATTGAAGGGCGAGCAGCATGATTTCACAGTCGACTACTGGAGCTTGGGTTGCATGCTGTTTGAGGCCCTGGCGGGATACCCACCTTTTGCCGGCGCCACGGTAGATGAAACGTGGCAGAATCTGAAGAACTGGCAAAAGGTGCACCGTAAACCAGTATATGAAGACCCGAACTACTTCCTGTCGCGACGGATGTGGGATCTGATCACGAAGTTGGTGGCTTCGAAGGAGAAACGGTTCAAGAATATCTATGAGATTCACGCCCATGACTATTTTGCGGAGGTTGACTTCAACCGGCTGCGCGAGCAGCGTGCGCCGTTTGTACCCGAACTGGATTCGGAGACGGACACAGGCTACTTCGACGACTTTACCAGCGAAGCGGACATGGCCAAGTACAAGGAGGTCCATGACAAGCAACGCGCATTGGAGGAAATGGCAGAACGAGACGAGAAGATGGGCAAGGGTCTATTCGTTGGACTTACATTCAGGTACGTTCGTTCTGCGATAGTTACTATACCATAGATTCTAATGAAAGACATAGGCATCGAAAACAGGCAATGGACGGAGGACGCAGCTCACCGCGGAAACCCATTGCGACAGACGGGTCGTTCGGGACGATGTTCTAACGCATATCTTCTTTCCCTTACCTTCTTTACCTTCTTTCCTCCTTACTGGCACGGTACGAGCTGGATCTCGAATTGACCATGACTGGATTTGATGAGCGAGTATATGTTTAATGTTCATATCCGACTGTATGCATTACCGGGTCAAGGGTCATGGTCTGGAGTTGAGTGTAATTGCTTGTATGATATATAGAGGTATCGTGGACTGATAAACGAAATCCAAATTTTCAAGACCAAGCCATGCCAGGATATTGTAGCCAAGGAAGTCCTCACACCGAAGGAAAGAATCTAATCAACATCCAACTGATGCACCATCTTCAGGATCTCCGACTCATTATCCCCCAGCACAGCCCGTCCATTCGTCCAATCGACCGTCTAAGAAGCCCGAATTAGCCAACTCCCAAACCCCCAACCCCAGAGAAAAACAAAAGAAAGAATGAGAAACTCACAATAGGCCTTACAATCCCCTGCGCCCCATTCTCCTTAAACTTCTTCAGCGCATCCTCCGCATCCCTCGCCCCCTTCACCACCTGCTCAACCCCATACACAACCCGATTACTCCCCGCCCCGGCCGGATCCGCCGTCACGTAATCCAGGATATTCCGCAGCTGATCCGTCGTCGGCGCCTCGGTCGTCACTTCCAGTTGGAACTCGCCCCGTTTGGTCGTCTGCGGTTCGCTCGCTTCGGCGGCGGCCAGCGTCCGTTGCAGGGTTTTCAGGGCGTTTTGGGACGCCGGGGCGCTGGGACTGTGGAAGAGGGTTATGGGGTCGAGGGTTTTGGGCTGTTTTTTGTTAGTTATTTGGTCTTTGTTTGGAGGGGTTGGGTGGGTGGTTGTTTATTGTGGTAGGGGAATGTGATTGGAGATTTTGAATTGGATTGGATTGGATTGGTTGGAGATTGGAATTGGAATTGGGATTGGGATTGGAACCTACAAATCGAAAGACCATCTTGACAGCTTTGTCTTATTCTGTTGTGGTTTGGATGGGGTATTTTGGTTTGAATAGGGTGTTAATATGAGTAATCAATTGAGTATTGAGTATTGTACTTTGGTTAAGATGAGTCGGAGGTGGTTGGGTTTGATTACGTCATAAATGTTTTTTTATGCGGTGCTGTTTCGGGCTTAGGGTGGTTTAGTTCCTATCGGGGGCCCGATTTAGTAAGATGTTTTCTTTTCCGAGTTGGGGTGCGGGGATTCATTTCTTTTTATTGAGTTGTGGTTTAAGTAGATAGCTGTTGAATGATATCTTCTTGTATTGTTTGATTGGTAGAAGGAGATATTTGGTTTCCTTGTGTCCTTGTTTTTGGATATATATGTGTCAAGGATTGGTTATCCTGTATTGGTAGATTGAGTTAAGCTATCTTAAAGATCTAATACTTATTCTGGATCAGAATTCACTGATATCTATAATAGTACTTGTTTGGATATATTGACTTACGGGAGCATAACTTAGTATCAACTACTATAAAGGAGGAGCTCAGGATTAAAGAGTAGATCTACTATATATACTCAGTAATTAAAACAACAAATAAACCAATGTTAGTTAAAGTACGAATATTATGTAAGACTTGGAGAGCTGATCCTATCTTGTAAGGAATGAGCGAACGTTGATGCCTCCAAGAGGCACACTAGACTAGATACGTCAAATCCTGCGGCCTAACAAATCCCAAGTAAAGATAATTGACCTGCTCATCTCGTGGCAATCACACTAGTCGTAGTAAGCACGGTAATGATGCAGGGATCTTGGGCATCTTAGCCAGTTAGGTTAGTAGCCAACAAAGACAATAAGACCAAGAGTTCCGCTACTCCTGAATTTCTCCTCTCTCGACTTCTGTTCCTTCTCTCTTCCAACTTCCCATTGTGTTTATCGGACATCATGTCTAGCATCGGCCCTGTCCTTGTTACCGGCGGCAATGGCTTCATAGCCTACCACATCATCGCCAAAATTCTCGAGGAGGAGCCTGATTGCAGCATCCACTCGATTGATGTAAATATTGACCGCAACCGCCACCCCAATCCGAACGTGCACTACCATCATAGCGATTTGGCCTGCGTCGAGGATGTGCAGCGCATCATGCAGATTGCCCGCCCGGTTACCATCTTCCATACAGCATCGCCCGGGTTCTCCGACGCTCCGGAGTCAGCCTACCAGCGCATCATCGTCGACGGCGCACATCACCTCCTAGATGCCGCAGTGAAGGTGAATACCGTGCGAGCCCTTGTCAACACATCTACCCCGGGCGTCATCAATGATAACCACACTGATCTCATTGATACCACAGAGGAAATGCCCATATTGCGTCCCGCACAGCAGAAGCGGGTCTACTGCATCGCCAAGGCAGATGCAGAAGACGCTATCCAAGCTGCCAACCGCAACAGCGGCCAGGACGATCGAGGCATCCTCACCTGCGCAATCCGACCCGGTCTTGTATTCGGCGAGCGTGACGTCGGCTCCTTAGGTAAAATGTTCGCCGTCGCGCGCCAAGGCAAGACCCGGTTCCAGATTGGCAATGGGCAGAACCCGTACGATTTCATCTACGTGGGAAACCTAGCAGATGCACATCTCCTAGCCGCTCATGCCCTTCTCAATGCCTGGGGCAAGCCCTCCCCGGCAGACGCATCAACCCGTGTCGATGGGGAATGCTTCCATCTCAACAATGAAGACCCCTGGCTCTTTTGAGACTTCCAGCGGGCGGTTTCCGCCCTGGCGGGTAATCCAGTCCGGTCTGAGGATATTGTGGTTATCCCGAAGTGGGTTGGGCTGACGCTCGGGTTCCAGAACGAGTGGGTTGCATGGATAATTTCCGGCGGTACTAGACCTGCCAATATGACACGTGAGGGTATTCGCTTTAGTACTCTCATCCGCACGTTGAATGGAAACAAGGCCAAACAGGTGCTTGGGTATCGTCCTAAGGTGGGCATGCAGGAAGGTCTTGAGCGAAGTGTGCGGTGGTTCATGGAGAATGCTGAGAGGGAGGCCTAGGCACTTTTATTTTATTCTGACCCGACGATATTTGCATCTAGGGCTGATATAAGTGTCGTCTAACTATACTCAACTCATGCTGATCTATATTTCATATCATCCACCGCGGAACTAATTGTCCTGTCACACGTGGGGTGGGTGACAATAGCGAATCCCTCCTGTAGTATATAATTTTGATATTATCATACTTCTTAAATATATTCCTCACTCTACACCTATTATTAAAGTAAAGAGAGTGTGTATTTTCGTAGTGGACATACAGTATAGTATACCAGCAATACCTAGGTAACAAATGCAGCCAAGACCTTATCACGGAAGTCTATCTTATCAGTAATCAGTCTAAATTAAATCTCCCCCCTTCCGCTCTCCGCAACTCAATTCCAACCAGCACAACCTGGCAATCAAATACAAACACCACACATACAAAAGAAATAAGGATGGACCCTGACGCCAGCATCACTCCGGACCAACCCCCGGTATTCAACTACATCCTCTCCTTCCTCCTAGTCGGCGTAGCATGGGGCTTCACAACTCCCTTCATCCGCCGCGCCGCAGCCGACTTCAACGCGCGCCAGGAGCAACACTCCCAGTCACAGCCCCAAGCACAAGCATCGCAGTCGCAGGAACCTGATCCCGACGCCCAAGAACTACAGCAAACAAACACAGACCACGAACCTGCCCCTAACACCCATCCGTCAGACGAAGAAGAAGATGAAGACCACCCTCTACCAGCAGCAGGTACCCAACAACAACAGCAACAACAGCCCGCATGGATGCGCCCATCGCAGTCCTGGCTCAAAACAAAAATCACAACTATATTCTGGACAGTTATCAATCTCCTCCGTACGCCCGCGTACTCCGTTCCCCTGATTATTAACTTGACGGGGAGTATTTGGTTCTTCCTTCTTGTTGGGAAACATGGTATGTTGTTGTGTCCTCTTCGTCTCTGGCCATTGTCACGATTGTTGGCTTTGTACTATCCTACCCTCTTGAGAATGTTTCTAGTTCGCTGATATAGTTTGTACACAGAACTATCCCTAACAGTGCCCCTTACTAATTCGAGTGCCTTCCTCTTCACTGTTCTGGGGGAGTGGTATGTGGAACGGAAGGTTATTGAGAAGGAGACTTGGTTGGGGATGGTGCTTGTGTTGGGGGGAATTGGTATTTGTGTTAAGCCTAAGAGTTAGAGATGTTAGACTATGTGTAGTGTGTATTATGTGTAGCTCTGGGTATATATGTGAAACTACTGGGTATAGATAGATACAGGATTACTTGGTTTGGGGGGATAAAAGAGCAAAAAATTAGTGCATCATCCGTGAATCGAACACGGGCCTCATCGATGGCAACGATGAATTCTACCACTAGACCAATGATGCTGTTGAGCTATTGGCTCTTGATAAAGGATTATCATTATTTTGTCTTATATTCCAAGGTTGAATCTGTGAGAGAATTTGTCGTGCCCTAATGAGTTGGATATATAGAGAGTATCGATACATATCAGCAGATGATTGGATATAGTGAGGGATGATGGATCATACACTAGAGGATAGCCGGGATAAACCCGCATGCTGATGATAAATACAATTGCTTGCCACTCTACATGGCTGGACAGAAGGAGGGGTATCTGAGAGTCCCAGGACATTGCATCTTACCTTCCTACCTTTAATTGGGTCAATCGTCCCGTCCAGATAACAAACAACCCTCTCCATAAGTATTTCAAAAGTCAGCTTTCCCAGCACTCCCTCAATCCCGTGTACGAGAGTGTACTAGAGAGCGTAGTATAAAATGGCCGAGATCGTTTTGTATGACTTAGCCTGCACCAAGAACGTCTGCTTCTCCCCCGTTGTCTGGCGCATCCGCCTCATGCTGAACTACAAGCGTATTCCCTACCGGACCATATTCCTCGAATTTCCAGACATTGAGCCCACGCTAAAAGGGCTGTGAGTCAAATCCGCCCTTTGAAGTCTCCCACTCTAAAATGTTTCCAGTGGTATATTACCGAGCGAATCCACCTCTACATCCAAACCCAAATACACAGTCCCCGCCATCCAGCACGTGCCAACCAACACATATATAACGGACTCAGCCTCCATCGCCCAGTTCCTCGAGTCAACCTACCCCGATCCACCAGTCCCGCTAACATCAGAGCTAGGCCGCGAGATCGAGGCTAAATCGCGCGCCGTGATCGGCCCAATCTTCTTCACCTCGGTGATGCCCCGCGAGATAGGCATCCTATCGCCGCGCGCGCAGGAGTACTTCCCGCGTACCCGTGAGGCCTCGCTGGGGCATCGGCTTGAGGATCTACTTGATCTGGATAAAGAGGAGCAGAGTTGGGACGCGGTAGAGGACGACACGCGTGCTGTTGGCGAGTTGATGCAGATGGATAGAGCTGATGGGCCATTTTTGCTGGGCGCCCGGCCGACTTACACGGACTTCTTTATTGCGGGGTCTCTTCAGTCTGCGAGGGTTGTGGAGGAGAGTGTGTTTCGGAGGTTTTTTGGGTACCCTGGTTTTAGGGAGGTTTATGAGGCTTGTCTGCCGTATATGGAGAAGGAGGATTGAATGGGTGGAGTTGCAGGTAAAGCCGAGCAGTGTAGTGAATAATATTGCAGATTGATGAGCCCTAATGCTGTTATAAACCTTCTATTACATATCTTCTCATGTCGTCGCGGTTATTTCCCTCTTTTTATTTATATTTATAGTATCTTATACATCAGATCAAATGTTCTAGAAAAATTCTAAAGATTTAATATTATGAAGGAAAAAAAGTAGTAATTAACCTGTTAGAGCCTTAACTATTGAAACGTTTAAAGACTATAGCCTTGATACTATTTGAAGGAATCAGTACAAATGCAAATATCAGTACATTGGCTTAAAAAGATTTATTTCGGCGTCCTGGTTCAGATATTCCATCGCGCCGTGAGCAATAGCGCTATCTTTACCTCGTTCGAGTCGATGTTGTTGAGCCTCCGTGAGATCCATGGGCCACTTATGTGTTTCGTTGATGACCATACTAGCTAACTCTTGAGGAAGCGAATGGGCCGATGTTACCAGCGACTGTGCTTCTTCTGCCCACCAGTCATGCCGCTGCGGTGGTACATTCCGCGTAGAGCAGATGCGGTAGTATGGGTCGACGAGCCACAGTGTCAGAAATCGAAGGTGTCCGGCCCGACATTTGGAGATCAGTTCAAATGGCTCCATGCGGTGATGGAGTGTGTTTGGAAAGACTATAAGACGTCCTTGGCCAATCGATACAGACCCGAGCTCTTGGAAAGCCGGTGTCTCGTCTTTAACACCGAATAACTTTTCCAGGTACGGTACATCCCATCCCTCAAACTGATATACACCTGGATTCATTTCGATCTCTTGACGGAACGAGAGCCTGCTACTTGTTACGTTTTCCATGTCGAAGAAATAAACCGCAGTTCCCACAATGTGCTCGTTAAGAAGGCCGTCTGTATGCCAGTCCTCGCCTGGGTAAGATGGACTTTCTGGTGTTAGCTCAATCCCTTCCAACTTCACAATGACCTGTAGGCCTTTATCGCGGAATGTCTCTTGAAGCTTGACTGTATAATAATCATGATCTCTACACCTCTTGCGAGAGCCCTCTAGGATTTTGTAACGATCCATGGGATCTTTCATATCATGTAGCGAGGACCAGACCTTAGGGTCTATCTCCCACTGGATGTCATTCTCCGTGGGCCCAACTATAGATTTTGCGGTTTCTCCTGCCTTCCATTCCTCATACGAGTAGAGACCCGGGTCGGAATGCTCGAAGCGAAACAGGCGAGTATATTTTGCATCGACCACATCCTTCAAAGATACCGTGTTCTCCCAATCTTGTGGAATCTCCTTTGTTTCAAGACCGTCCCATTCGACTTTAACGCCATATTCCGGAAGGGCGACATAGTCCCTGACACGGGCAAGTGCGTTGTGGCATGCTTCGAGATCACTATCCCGCTCCGTTGGTAGATCTTCTGCCCACTTTGGATACTCGTTTCGCCACTCAACACCAAATGTTTGAATTCTCCGGGGCGCCCTGCCCGGTGGGGAAGACAAATTAGAATCAATGGGGGTTCCTTTGATTAATGTCTCATTCCACGGCTCAATGACTTGAGACACTACCTCTTCAAGTGTTTCATAAAAAGAGCGATGTCTGCTTGGGTGCAGGTTGTTAACATAAGAGGTAATTCGTACGTCTGTCGATCCTGCTGGCCCACAGAATTCCACCTCACAGGGAAGCCACTGGAATCGGTGAGAGAACAACAAGCTTCTCGCGTTGTCATCACTGTCCGGAAACTCCTCCAATATTTCACGCTCCTGGTCGTGCCTGGGTGCAACCTCGCCGTGTCCGTAGGTTTCCAATGTTTGTTCAAGTGGAACACAGCCGCCATTCACCAGAACGCGCGTCTGTCCGTATACTAGAGGGAAAAGAGACGGGTCGATCATGTTCCAAATCAGCTTATTGGAGCTGGGTTCCCAGTCTTTCCGGTCTCCACACTCGTCCGACAATTTGGAGACAAATTGTTGAATCTTCAAGCCAACCGATGAGGGGATAATTGTGTCGGATTTACAGACAGCACTACCAGAGTTTAATACTAAAATCTGGCCTGTTTCTTTAAACCGTATCGCTTTATCACGCAGTTCAGCCAAGCACCAGTCCCATGCCTTGTGGCTAATGATCGGGCGTGTTATGGCTTCTTCTTTCCACTTTGTGACAGTGTGCTTATCAAATATGAGGTTGTACCATCCGGGTCGGTCCGTCAGTGTTTCCATGAGATTCAACATGGCCAGCTCCCGAGCAGTTAGAGGGGAGCTGAACCAGTCCATCGGAACCGTATCGTGGAATCTGTCCTCACAGTCGAGGGTCAGCTCAAGGGGATAATTGTTAAATCCGGGGACCTTCAAGGGACCTGTTCCTGAGTTGTCGAGTTCATTATTACCCATGGTGAAGATGGATCAACGTTAGGGGCATAGAGAAAGTTGAAAGATTTGACATCACCCCGAGGGAGTGCTGGGTTAATATAATGGTACCCTTGCGAAGAGGCACCGGTGGACTCGCACGGAGGAATAGAATATACGGAGTAGCCCCATTGTCGAAAGCAAGAGCAGATAAATAATATAATACAATATCTTGGTTAAGTTGAAACTAAATTAAATACAACTCGGGTTCGGTAATTTTACCGAACCCGAGCTTTAACCCTAAATCGATAAAGATTGGCCATGCTCGTTGACTCAACCAGCTCACGATGGGTTTCCAACAAAACGTTATTCGGAATACATTTGTGTGAATACTATATATAGCTATACAGCAGGATAGGACGCAGGCTGTAATAAGGGCTTGCCTCAGCACTTATTGACGAGCTTCTGGAGATCTTTAACTTTCACAATCACGGCCTGATGCGATAGAAAGGACCAATCCTTGACCACAATCTTTCCGTCTCGCAGTTTTTTCACAATATCCTGTGCCTCCTTTGAAAGGTTATCGTGAATTGGATACTTTGATGCTGTTTCTTTGGTTTCATATACTTGCCATGCGCGTCCATCATCCGTGGTCCGTGGGCTCTTGACGAATTCGATTCCCATCCGCGTTTCGAGTTCCTTAATGAAGTATTTCATGTTATCTGCGACCCGATTTTGTTTGATAAGCTTCAACGCAGTCTTCATGTTGTTCCTTTCACTCTCGACGCTAGATAAGGAGAGTTTTTCTTTGATCTGCTCTTCAACGGCTTCGAACACTTTCGAAAAAGGGGTCGCCTTCCCTGCACCCTCCACAAGACGAGAAAGATCGTACACGCATTTGAAACCGCGCTCTCTCAATCGTTTAGAAGTCTCTGTAATTCCAGCAGTACCGGCATTATCGAGGGTGTCCCGAAATTTTACGTCTTCGACTTGGAGTTTCTCGCCGCGGTAGAGAATGTGCTTCACGAAGTTTTTGTAAGTGCAGGGAGTAGGGCTTTGTGCCCCTACGCACCCCTTGGCAAGCTTTCGCTGTTTAGGGTTGCTCACGGTTTTGAACTCGATCAGGTATGCATTGTAGAAGAATAAAGTCTCCGCGGGGCCTGCCGTGTTCGAGGCTAGGGCTGTCTCTGTCAAAAGCAGAAGACAGGAAAGAATGAGAAGAAGAAAATACTTTATAGTCAAGTGTACTCTTTTTCTTTAGTTGTGTTTGCTTTTGTGACTTGAAGGGGCATATAAGAATCGATTGCATCCACTCATCCTTTTCTATGAGAAATTTATACGTTTAAGAACTGATATAGGCATTCTACCTCCCTACTAATTGATCAGAGAATTGCTAGCTGAACCCCGATGTAACAATCCTAGGGGAAATAACTTTCTTGGTAGAACGCCATTGTTATCTAGATACCAACCCAACGTTTTTCATCTAACTTACGACTTCAGTATTCCTCTTAGTTTCTGTGGACTTTGTGAACCTGTACCCTAGGCGAGAGTCTACTTGAAAACGGACGTTGTAGGGAGGCCGTAGTGATATCAGTAATACCAATACATACCGTATTCTCGGTACTTCATTTAATTTCAATAAGAGTCTAGATAGCAAATGTCTTACATTAAGTCGTCCAATCAGTCGACCAATATCTAGTTCGGTTCCTCCGATACTAGATGAACCTAGTGCTACCGTGCTAGTATATTTACGTAACGAAAAGCATCAAGTAAGAGAAACCCCCATGTATCGGGATCTAATGTTGTCTCGTGCCTTATACTATTGAAAGTACGGACGATACTAAATTAGTTCCACGCATCTACTTCCTTCTTGGGATGCTTCCGGATGGTCCGCGAGGAGTCGTTCGGCCCTTCATACAGTGGAGAATATACGATTACCCTAGTCCCTAGTGGTAGATCCACCCTACCTAGATTCCCATTTTCCTTTCTCGCCCGCTGATTCGTCCGTCCGTCCGTCCGTCCGGCTTTTTCATATCTCCCCCCCCCTCCCCCCCCCCGGTCCGTACTCCCGCCGCCCCGTGTGCGTGCCCCGAAGCCCCCCCCCCCTCCCCCCCAAGTCACTTGTAGAGCGCTGTAGCGATATTGTTATATACATATACATTCCGGAGAGCCATATAGACGCGTGTGATCCTGATAAATTCTTCGCGTTATATATATACGTGACTATTATATCTAATCTAGTTAGTTAATTAGTTAGAATAGATATTAATTTCTCTCCATCCCTTTTTTTCTTTCTATACTATACTAAAATCTGTATAGTCTATTGCTTGCTATCGA